TAGTATTAGAAGTATCAAGAGATATTTATAAATTGAATGTTTTGATTAATACAAAAGAAACAAATAAAACATATACACCATCATCAATTATCAATATAGATGTCAACGTTACACAACATGGAGACAACTTACATGTGGACGCGGCAGAAGTTTGCATCGTTGTTGTTGATGAAGCAATTTTATCATTAACTGGGCACAAGTTAGATAGCCCATTAGATATATTTTATCCTAATCGATCAGCAAATATCACACAGTACCATGATAGAAATCGTTGTTTGCTATTCAATATGCAAGACATAGAAAAATTTAAGAAAGATATGCAAGAAAGACAATCTTCATTCCAACTCTTCGGATCGGGTGGTGCAAAAATGATGTACGACTGTATGCCTATGGCCTGTTCAGCAGCTTTCAGACAATGCAGTTCCGGTGCTTCTGGTGCTGGACAAAAAATAGCTGTTCGGTCGAACTTCAATCCACTAGCATGTTGGATACCATCATCAATCACTAATTCATCAGGACGTGTTTCATTTGAAATTAAATTACCTGATAATCTAACACGCTATCGTGTATGGGCGTTAGCAACGAATGATAAACAATATGGTTTAGGTGAAATGTCATTTACTGTGCAATTACCAATTATGATTCGACCTTCACCACCAAGATTTCTTAATTATGGTGATACAGCTCATATCTCAGTTGTTTTGCAAAATCAAACTGATCTATCCATCTTACTACATGCTGGTTTAAGAGCAACTAATGCTAAATTGTTAACATCAGAAACAAATCAACAAACAGTTGGCTATTCAATTGTACTGCAGCCAAGTAGACGTGCTGCTCTTACATTTCCATTGTCAACCATTCATTCTGGTACAGCCCGATTTCAGTTCATCGTTAGTACTGTTAAAAGTGAAACATTTGTACAATTTGGTGATGCGATTGAACTAAGTTTACCGGTATTCACACCAGCAACATCTGAAGCATTTGCAACATACGGTGATATATGCGAAGAAGAAGTAGTTTTGCAGCCAGTAGAGGCACCAAAAAATGTTATTCCACAATTTGGTGAATTATCCATAACAACAAGTTCAACAGCATTAGCATCGTTAACAGATGCAATTATTTCACTGTATACATATCCATATGAATGTACAGAACAATTAAGTTCAAGAGTTTTAGGCATACAAGCGCTATGGGATATTTTACAAGCATTTCATTGTAAGGATTTACCTGAAGTATCAGTAATGAAAACTAAATTAGAATCAGATCTAAATACACTAAAAGGCCGTCAATATTCAAATGGTGGCTTTGGTTATTGGACAAATCGAAATGACTCTTATGCTGATCCATATATGAGTGTGCATGTTGCACATTGTTTAGTCGTTGTTATGAATAAAAAGGTAAGAGTTTTATCCTAGAAATAACGATATAATGCAAAATAAATAGTAATTCTGTAGGCGGAACTATATTTCAGTTTGAAAAGATGTTGTCTAGTTTCTAAATCTAATTAAAACTGTACTATAAAAAAACTTTTAAATGTCAACCATATGTCTCATTATTTTACAGGTATTTGATGTTAACACGAACATGCTGAACAATGCACTAACATATCTGGAAAATATTGAATCTGAAATTAATCAATTATCATACACTAAATATTGGTCTGACTTAACTCGATTTAGTTTGATAAGTTATGCATTATATGTGCGAGCAAAACATCTTCAAAATGTAGCTGACGAAGCTTCACAATTATTTGAACGTAGTCGATTTGATAAACTTAGTTTAGAAGCATTAGGATGGTTATTAGTAGCATTATCAACGGATAAAAATAATAATAAAGATAAAATAATTGAAATAATATACAAACATCTCAAAGGTAAAGTAAGTGAAACAAGTGAAACAGCTAATTTTATTACATCATACGGTGATGATGGTCAATCAGTCATGTTGCATTCAAATCAACGAACAGATGCTATTTTATTAGAATCATTATTATATATTGATCCAAATTCAACTCTGTGTACTAAACTATGTAAAGGTTTACAAGCACATAAAGTGAAAGGTGCATGGAAATCTACACAAGAAAATTGTTTTGTATTAATTGCACTAGATAAATATTTTCATATAAAAGAAAAAGATACACCAGATTTTGTTGCTAATATTTGGCTTGACAATGATTATTGCGGTCAACATCAGTATAAAGGTAAGATAATATTCATATAGCAGCATTTTAATAGAATTGAGATCAAAACGGAACGTATTTTTGTAGATAATTTATCTTATCAATGTAGAATTTTTGGTTAGACCTCAATATTTCTAAATATATTTATGTCAAAATCTAGCTTTCATAAGTTGTCAGTTCTTTTCTGATAGATGAAGACAAATTAACCCTCCCTCATATTTATTAGTTTGTGACTTCTAGCAATAATTCATATCCCTATATTATTGAATATATTTTCCGAACATGATGGTTTCACAATATCTAATTGTATTCTGATGTCTTTTACTAATACAAAGGTCGAACTACAAATACACATACAGTAAATATTCCGATGAAAGTAATCTTAGCATCAGCATCGGACACAAATAATAATAAGACGAAGAATCTCATCATGCACAAAGATGGCAATGGTCGATTATATTATCGTATTGGATTGAACTATGCTCCATCAAATTTACAATTAAATGCAGTTAACTATGGCTTTAAAATTGAACGAACGTACGTAGCTATCAATGATTCAACACACGTTCAGAAACAATCAGATGATACATGGAAATTCAAGTTAGGTGAAAAAATCAAAGTCATATTAACAATGACAACAACACAACGACGATATCATATAGCATTAGTTGATTATTTGCCAGCTGGTTGTGAACCATTAAATACACAATTAAAAGGTACGCTGACTGGTGATACACAATCATCAGTAACAAGATCCAACAGAAATTTTCATTATTGTGGATGTCGACCATATTCAAATGTTGGTTGGACTGAGCACGAAAATTTAAGAGATGAACGTGCAGAAGCATTTCGATCATTATTATGGCCTGGTGTATATGAATGGAGTTATGTCATGCGTGCAACATGTGCTGGAACATTTATCATTCCACCAGCTAAAGCTGAAGAAATGTATTCACCAGAAAACTTTGGTCGATGTAGTACGGAAAAGGTTATAATTGAATAAGAAATGTATGGTACATTTAAAACTTCGTCATTTTTTTTAAATCTTCATTACTAATCCCATTATTAATCAATTTATTTTTATATTATTCATTTTACTATTCTAATTAGTTTACTAATTTTATATTTAAATAAAATTAATCGCTTGATATATTTACTTCAAATGCTAGTAAAATGGTACTACTAGATGTCTGGCCAACATACTACTTCGTTCATAGTGACAATGTGGATCTAGATGGACGTACAGAAAATAAAAACAATGAGAGAGACACGGATGGGTATTTCTATGAGATTTTATCCGCGTGAAAATTTGGATGTGGGGTGTGGGATGTGAAGTATGTGTTATTATTTTCTCCATCAACGTCCACACCCACACCCTCAAATTTAATAAAAAAATAATTTTTATTCTATGATCTCATTCTCAATAAAAGAAAATGTACTGCATCAGTTAATTATTTAAATCAAAAAGAACTAATGTATCAATCGTCATCTAATATATTGAGAATTAGAATTGCATTCGGACACTAACGCTAGAAGTCGGCCGCTGGTAAAATTTTGATTTTCGATTTAACTATCATAAATGAAAGATCTAGTCAAACCATAAGTGAATCCAAAATATTAGATCTGTCTGATGTGCCTATGAAAAATATCAACGTCTGCAAGTTATACACCATTTACACATGGTCAAAACGTGACGTTTTTCGGGTATTCTTAGTATTGTGCATTTTCCTCTGCATCTGTTCATTTGTTTGAATTCGGAAATATCTCAAAAGATACAGAAATGTTTTCTCTGCAATAAATGATATTTCATTAAGTTATTGAATGCCGTCTATTAGTAGATAATACTAATTTACAGGCAAAAGTTATGATTGTTTAAAATCAAGACTTTTCAGTAATTTGACTATAGTCGCGTCGAGTCGAACCATGCCAAATAGTTTATATATTTTCTGAAAGTCCCTGAAATTGTGCATCTTCTATGATATTACTCGTTCAGATAAACGTTGAGCGAAAATAGGTTGTCTACACCAGAAATGAGGACATTGGATAGTTTTCTCTACTCAATCGCATCAAAGATCAGTTAAGTATATTCCATATGACTATCTAAATCCAAAATATAATTTCAGATTCGTGATGAGCACGAAAAGTTGACCATAAAAATAGCATTTGATTGAATACAAAGTTATCTAATCATTGAGTATGAGACCTAGAAGTAAAAATTTTGCTTTGTTTAGAATCTCTGTACTCTTAACTTGAAAATCTGCTATTTACTTTTTTCTGATTATGGTTTATGGTTAAGCAAATTGGATTTTCTTTTATTTTGTCAAAAATTGGCGTGAATGTGTTAAAACTGCAATAATTTGCCGGTGTTTCTATCGTCAGAGGTTATTTGGATAACAAAATGTGTTACGTATTTAAAACGAGCGAAAAAAAGACTACATTGAATAAAGTATTTTTGGGGTTTAGGCGTGGATGTTAGCCTAGGAGAATAGAATATCAACACTCCCACGTACATGCCCAAATTTGATATAGTTTCTTGAACAGAACGAAAGAAGAGAAAACAACAAGCGATATGTAAATGTGTAAACTACAGATGTATGTTTGGCGCAGTATAAATATGATCCACGTGCATTTGTGTTGAGAGGTTACACAAACGCTGACGCTGCAGAAATATACATAAAGAGACAAACAATGTTTTTTATTCGAAATGCATCTGTTTCTTGTTTTCCTTTCATATTGCTTTTATAATTTTATCAGTGTAGTGCACGTGCTCACCAAAGTGTGTGTGTGTGTTATATTGTACATTTTTTTGTATCACTACACTATGTTTTTTGGTTTTCCTGAGCGTTTATTTCCTCATGCCAAGTATGACTCTCATCGCATGCGAATATTTGCACTCGCTATCTCATGGATAAGCATCGTCTACAATGGAATAGAAGGAGGGGCATCGATCGGATTGGGAGCTGATTCTATCTCACGCGCTCTTATCGTGTTTGGAATACAATCGTTTGTTGAAGTCTTCTCAGCTATGCTCGTCATCTACCGCTTTCGCCGTGAATTTAACGGCAACTCTCCGCCGAATTTATCTCTAGAAAGGCGGGCTACACTTGGTATTGGCCTTCTTTTCATACTCCTCACCATCGGCACGTGGGTAGCATCAATCCTCGCTCTCGTTACGCATTCTGAACCTGATTCTTCGAAACCATCCCTCATCGTTTCTGCCAGTGCACTTGGATGCATGCTATTCGTTTGGCTACCTAAGCCATGGATAGCTACTGAGCTGAACAGCTCTGTTATGCACGGAGAAGCTTCTTGTTCTCTCGCATGCATTTATCTCACTATTGTTCTTTTTGTGGGAAGTTTAATTTATAAATTATGGCATGGAGGATGGTGGATTGATAGCGCCGTAGCAATTCTTCTCGGGTTCTTCTTTCTCCGCCAAGGATGGAACATGATTTCATGGGCTCGAGATAAAGAGTTTAACGGAGGCTGTTGCAAGGCATGTTCAGCACCTTCTTCTACCATCTGTTACGCGAATAAGACAGCAACATCCAATAACTGCAACGGTGATTGTTCTCAAACTTGCTCCGTACCTTCTGCTACTGTCTGTTGCGCGAATAAGACAACAACATCCGATGACTGCAACGATGATTGTTCTCAAACGTCTTCCATACCTTCTGCTACTGTCTGTTGCGCGAATAAGACAACAACATCCAATAACTGCAACGATGGGTGCCATAAAAAAAGTGCCACATCTTCGTCGACTGCCTCTTCTACCAACATTGCAGGAACATCTGTTGTAGAGTGCGAAAATGTGCGGAAGTGCAACTGCTGCGCCAGCAAGAAGGAGTGCGTGGAAGCTGGTACATGTGTTTGCGGGCCGCTACTTTGCGATAAAGCTTTAGGTGATATTCTGTGCTGTTCGGGTCCGACAAAATGTTGTCCATACGGCATGACTGCAGCCTTTTTAGTTTGAAGATTCAATATTTAATTTTAATATTCTTTCGTCTATTTCTTTTTAACGTCATAGTACTGTCTCTTATGTCTCAATTACATGCTCGAAACTAAAAATAAACTATCGAAATATATATCAAACTTATTTATTTTATGCGGTAATATCTTCGAGCTTTTCTTCGTAGTACAAACAGTGTTGAAGTCCTGTCTTTCGGGTGTGTTAGAGTTTCCATGACTGACTTCGATTTCTACTGAATAAATCTCATCAAATACCTTCTATTTGGTCACTTCTTCCTCGATTAGGTGGCCGAACAGATCGCTGCGAGACAAAATGTTGCAATATTGCATATTGTTACAAATGTTTATTTTAGAGGATGAATTCAAATTGTGTAATGTAAATTAATGAAACTAATATAGTAGATTAATTATTCCCATTCTGAAAAATAGAATCTATGAGCCATTTACCGACTCGAATTAAGCTCATTACAGATAAAACATGGCAGTTTTCTCACGATGAATTAGTTCCATTATGTAAGTTAATGCGCTCATTCATTAAAAATTCCAATTAAATAAGAAGCTTAATTGAAACACTAATGTATAAAAAATGTTGCTTCGTATTTCCTAGACTGAAAGGATAGGGTCTAGAAGCCGTAATTCACCTTTATCTGTTCGTCCGTCCGTAACAATGGCACAAATGGTCATTTCTATGGCACAAACGGCATTGATACGACACAAACCATGGATGGGTGCATGGCAGGGCTATGTGAAACAGTCCGCTCTGGAGATGAGGTCAGTGGAGGGGCGAGCTGATCTCCTACGAAACTTTGAGCTAACCATCACGAAATTTCTGAACCATATACTTTTGTGGGTAGGTAAGAGTCAGGCTCTGCCCTCCTTAAGGACCTTTGAGTCCCATTTTGTCCGTCGTTCATCTTAACTTTCAGTCCTTTTACTTGAGACCTTTAATTTTTGTCTAATTCTTACCTCAGTTTCACTTATTTCCACTCTCTTTACAGGTCTGTTTGAAAGTAACATCGCCAGCTGCTGGCACGAACAACCGATTTTTAGTACTGTTCATGGATTTGTTCTCTTCACCACTGTCAGCCTGGGACCTAGTGAGTCGACTTTCGATGCTGATGAACGTTATTTGTACTTATTTCTCTTCTGGCATACACTAAATTCACATTGCTATTTGAGAAAATATTAATCGGGTATTGAGAAGCTATTCTTACAAAAGAAAAGCAGATGACAGTACACGATGTTTTTTTTATATATTGGAGCGGACAACAACAAAAAAATGCATTTTTCGGTATCGAAATCCTGATTGCAAAGGTGAACAAATTTTGCCAGTATTGCGTTACTCATTTCTATAATTTCAATATTTTTCAGCACGGTGTCACACAACTCTTGCTATGGCTTCATTGCGCTCTGAGTCAACAACACATTCTGATGTTCCAATTCCAGAATGTATTCCAGTATTTGAACTAAAGAGTAAAATTAAAATTAAAGAAACTAGATCGAACGAAGCTTCAAGTTCTATTTTACATTCTGAACTACGACTTATACATTTAAGTACAGTTGGTATTCACCAAAGTCTGATTCATTAATGAGAACTATTCGACGGCGATGTTCGGCACAGTAATTAAATTCAAATAGTCGCTTACCTGACCATTTAAGGAAAACAGACCATGGGGAAGAATTTATATTGTATAAAGATGATGAAATGATTATTTTTACGACGACAACAAATTTATCCTTATTGAAAAGTTGTAAGCATTGGTATATTGATGGCATATTTAAGGTTTGAATACAAAAATCTTGCTTTCTTGCACTATATTTATTTATATTCTTGCGTAGATGTGTGCAAAAGGATTTAGCCAACTTTTTATATTGCATGCATTGTTGAAATCAGTCATCGCTTCATTTGTTTATGGCTTATTAAGCGGGAAAAAGCATCTGATTGTAAAAACATTTTTCAGAGGGTGTGGGTGTGGATGTATAGATAACACGAATCTTACATTCACACACCAGTTAATGGTCAATTAACATCAGGTCATGGTAAAGGAATAAAAAATTAATTCAACATCATCAGCAACAAACAACAACAACGTGAACATCTGCAGCAATAACAACAACATCAACAACAGTTATCAAAAATTCATAAGTTATATCTTGTTAATGTCCGAATGAATAGGATGAAATATAAATAATAGGTAAGAAAACAAATATATTGAAAATAGAAAAAAAAAATTTTTATTCTACGATCCCATTATCAATAAAAGAAAATATTCTGTATCAGTTAAATATTTAAATCAAAAAGAAGAAATGCCTCAATCATCATTTTATATATTTAGAATTAGACTCGTCTTCAGCCACTTAAGATTTCTGATCTAAAACAGGCAAACGTTCTAGTTTATCAGTCAATCCGTCGAGAACTTGATCAACTGCAGCAATGGTATTCTTTGATGTTGTGAAACTAAATGATTGCATTAATTCATCTTTGATCATTTGTTCAGCAAGTTGTTTGAGCGGATTCACGACAAGTTCAAAGTAGACAAGACCTTTGAGCTGTTTTTTGAGTGTTTTTGGAGGGTACGAGCAATGTGACTAGATGTGTGTTATCATTTAGAAATTGATGCAATATATTAGAGATCTTCTCATAGTTTGTTTGCATCTTAGAACGTTCAAATTGAAGTATGCGCTGCTGCGCACGCGCGTAGTTTCGACGGGTTTCATTTGGGAGAGTTGTGTACGTTTATCGGCTAGCACTTGTTGTTGAGTTACCAGCCGCTGGCGGGCATCATTGAGTGTGTTTTCTGCCAGATCTCTTGCATCTTTAGCAATCTCAATACCATTCATATTGACAACGCTACATATCGGCTTGACTATCACAAAATGAGTAGCCTGAACGACAGGTCGCTCAATATTTTTATACCACCAATCCCCAAAGAAACGCTTCTTTCGGCGTCCGTTTCGGCACAAACGCGCCTTTCTGACTCCCTCCCAAACTTCGTCACGCTGATACTCAGCATTCCGAAGAGCCACTTCTCGTTCTCGCACTACTTGCTCAGCAAATATCATATACACTATTGACGGTAATGCTTATTTCGTTTGCGAGGCCTCTTAATCGGCTCGGCTGACTATCGGCTTGATCATATTGTAGGACAAACGATGCGGCTGTGTTCTCTACATTGATAGCTGGTGCGTGTTCAGTACGCTCACTAGTATTGACAGCTTTGTCAGATTCAATATCTTCTGATTCGTTTGAGTTAAGTTTCTTATCATCATCTAGATTTTCAGTTGTCGCCAATCCGTCCATACTCTCGCCGCTCTCTTTATCTATTGCATTGTGCTCATTCATGGTGAGTTTGTCATCAAAAGGTTCATCCGATACCATCTGTTCGCTCATTTGTTCAATTTCAGTAGTATCCGTTTCGGTGACTTGTTCGACAGTAGTCATTTTCTCAGTTGTTTCTTCCTCACTTTGTTCTTCGGGTTTACTATGAATTTCGTCTTTAGATTGGTGATTATCTTTTTCTTCTTCTGATTTTGCTACAGCTTCATCCTCCAGATTGTGATTAACTTCGTCTTTAGTATTGAGACTAATTTCGCCTTCGAATTCATGGTCATCCAATTGTTTTAGATTGATTGTTTATGTCTCAGCATTTTTTAAATCACTTGAATTTTCGTCAAAATGTAAAATACGTTCGATAATGTCTTTGTTCAGCATTTGATAGACAGTACTGTAGAGAGGTATCACTGTTTTAGTCATTTCGTTTCGATACCATTCGACTCCGTCCAAACCATTGTCTGGATGTGGATGAAGACCCAATATGAAAAGACCCAGCAATAGTTTCAACATCGTACTGTGTGAAGTTGATTCGATTTGTTGTATTGTGCCTTTTATAGATATGAATGCATGTAATTTGTTCCGCTTCGATAAAGAAGAGACGAATTCTTTCACTTCCTCTCCGATGATCGACATGATTCCTTATCATCAATGCTAGATTTTTTTCTAATGCAACTGAGTATCGAGTTTTATCAAAAACGCAACAGATGCAGTGATTGTTGAGTGCATGAAATTTGATATGAAGAGGATAGTTATTAATCAACAATAACGATAAAAGGTTATTGTACGAAGATCGAAGGAAGATATGTTGACGAGAAAAAATATAGAGATAATGGATAAAGTATAGTTTACCCTGTCATACAGTCTGGACACCAAGTTCCTATCCAAAGGATAATGCATAAGAAGTTCTTTTTGGTGTAGGGTGTGGGTGTAGAGCTTGGTGTGATTGTGCCTCTGAGAGTAAAATATTATCCACTGACACTCACTCCCAAATGCTACACCCACACCCACACCCAGACAAAATGCTTTTTCTCCTAAATAAATCGGGTTCAATTTCAATTATAAGTAAAGCTTTTGTTGTTTATTTACGTGATAATACTAACGTGATATTTTCTTCTAAAAATTGTATTTTTGAGAAAATACAATTAACAAATCAAAGTCTGAATTTAAATTAACTCATGCGTTTCTACTTATAGTGTTGATTATTATAATAAAGGAATATTATTGAAATTGCAATCCTATTATGAAATAGAAAATCGACTTGAGTCGTTTCAAAGAGATAATGCCTTTTGAAATGTTTTAGTTGACATCTATTCTGAAATAAGCACATAATTTACTGATATAATTAGGCGAGCTATGCAAACGTCATCATTTTACCATAGCTCCATTTCAAGATAATATTAGTTTTTGTATAAGTCGAAGTTGGGCGGCAATGTTATTCTTTATGAAATTAGTCATTGTCGGGACACAGTAGACATAAGGTGAATAACTATGTGAACTAGATGGTATTCGAGTTTCACTCGACTACGAGATGCGGTGCGAAGCAAATACGCGTTACGCGAAGTCATTAAAAGCGGAAAAAAAGATATATCAAGTTCGATCTTAAAACTCTTACCTAAATTTTCAACGAATCTTCTATGACTTTCCAATTTCGAGATCATCGCGCAACAAAAATCACTTTTAAAATGCGTACGCTTCAAGTAAAAAAGTAAATAATTTAATAAAACAAGAAATATACCAAGCAAAGTATAGAGTTTACTTTGAATAAAACAAGAAATAATTTCATATTAACTTTTAAAAAGTTATCTTATCACAATCTGTAATTTATTAAAAGTGTTTCATCAAATTTGTACAGTATAAAATGTTGCAATTTTTTTAAAATCCATTTAACATTTATAAATTTTCAATATAGTCAGATATATTATACATGTATACCATATTATTAGATATTGCATATCTATATAATTATCTAATATATTAAGTAATAACTGCTGAATCTTTTTCTATTTTAGATAAAATAAAACGTTTCAACAATTATAATAAAATTTTTATCAAAGATTATATTACTAATTACATTATAGCAAAATAAAATATGTTATAGGAAACTTTCACTAATTGTATTTAAATTATTAACTATCTACAAATAATCTAATCGACTTGTCATTCATCATATGTAATATTTAAAACATGTATAAAAGTAATTTGTTAAAGATAAATACTATAACATTATGGTAATTCTATGTGAATATGTGTATTTAATAAATTTTAAAAAAAGAACAATTTTTTTTTGTTTAATCTCATTATCTAAATCTTTCATTAGAAACTATGTAACTTAGCAGCCTTTACTAAAAATCAAAAATTTAATTTACTTTAATTTACAAATAGATATACATTAAGTTAGATGGCTCTGTATTCGTATTTTATCTATAGTATTTATTATTTTCAATCATATGTAGCAGAACACTATGGTGTGCTGTAGAAAGGTCGAAAAGAAAATGGTCGAAAGGAAAAATATCGAAAGGGAAATAATGTCGAAAAAAATTTTAGAACGGGGAAAAATGTCGAAAAAAATATAAAAAGAGAAAAACGTCGAACAATACATTTTACCACAAAAAAATGTCAAAATTCAAAATAAACGAAATAGCGATGTCTACAGTAAATGATGATTCCAAACGCGAATAATTCATGTTTTCTTTTCCCATAATTCTACTAGTCTAGATTTTGCACCTCTTGTAACAGTGACGATTAATATACTTCATATAAATTAAGTAAACAACCCCTACATAAGAGTAAATAAATAACTAAAATTCTACCATTATGGCTGCAGCTGTCGCATCTTCAGAAGATGAAACTCAATCGAAGTCACCAACGATTTCATTTATTAATTCACAGAAAGGAAAACAAT